ATTATTTTTTTTAAATGGTGCTGTTTGATCATTTTTGTAACTTCTGTTTGTGATTGTGAATTCCTGTCGGAGTTCACTCTTGTGTGGGGGGTGTATTATGTGCCATAAGTTTGGGCTACGTGCCGTAAGTCGTATATGCCGTAAGTAGTACGTGCCGTAAGGGAGATACATGTTGTAAGGTCAGGGTACGTGCCATAAGTGTTACGTGCCATAAGTTCTGGAAGATGCCTACAGGTTCTTCGGACGTCCTGCCCACTCGCCCATTCGTCAACCGCTCCCTAGACTCCGCCTTCTGGACCTGGCCCTGCCTCCCTTGCCTTCGGAGCAGTTTCCGGTTCGTCGGCTGAAGAGGCTGCAGCTTTGTGACTTCGGGGCCCGCTGCTTGCTTCTCGTCTGCTAGCTCGCTCTTAATTCGCTTTGCCTTTGGTTTGAATGCTCGTGTATGACTGCTTTTGTTCTTGGTTTCCGATTTTCGCCTCGTCCCTTATTGTACCTTAGCCCCGGTTTTGGCTGTCTGCTTGGTTTTGAACTTTCGCTCGTACTCCGACTTCACCTCTTTGATCTCCCCTCTGGATACTGTCGCTTCGGCTGTGTGTTTGTGTGTTGAACTAGGTGTGTGTAAGGAGTGTCTGCCTTTTTGTTTCTTCGTCAACGTGGGGATTACTGTTTGTTTGGTTAGGGAGATAGGCCTAGGCATTGTTGTTTCGTTTCACCTTTTTGTTGTGTTCACTTAGGATTAACTTACTGTAGCTTGTGGTTGTTTTCGGTAGGTGTGTTTTTGTTTGTTTCTTTGGCTTTTGTCACTCCTGACATTCGTTACACCTAGTGTTTGTAAAGTGTCTGTGAAAAACTTTTTTACTTAGAATGCAGGGGGTTTCTCTGAGATGTAAGAGGTGTGGCACTTTTGTCACACATGGGCCTCACAATGAGCAGCTGTGAGTCCTCTCATTCAGAGCTCTCCCTGTTAAGCGACTCCCTTCAAACTCACCCTCCCCTCCCACCGCACACACACACACACACACACACACTCTGTATAATTTACAAAGGATTAAGATACTCCTCTCCTCTTTCCACTGTTACCAAGCCTGCCATGGGTGTGAAAAACCACCCCCACTTCATAAGAAATTTTGCCCTGCACTGTTACTGTGATGGCAATACATGTTCTTTGTACATGGCACCAAACAGAGAAATTCCTTGGACATACATTACACTTGGGGAGCAATGCGGATTCTGATTCAAAAAATGACTTCTGTGACCCCCCCCCCCCAACACTACAGAATGTTTAGAGGTGCTTTTCTATTCAGCCATATATTTGCTTCATCTATATACACTGGAGTACATGTGATTGTCTTTGTTTAAGCAGATGAAGCAGGGGGTTTCCAGAGTACAATCTGTATTAAACCACAGTACTGTACATCTCCACTAGATGGCAATATAATCCCAAATTAGATTATCCATTCTCTTTAGACCATTTAAAAGAGGAACTCTGGTAAAAGTATCCATCAATTCATCATATGTATACAACAATAACAACAAAAAAATGTGACACATGACTTTTCACTGTACAAACTGACTCCAGTATCAGTAAAATGCATAATTTGTAAATATCTGTTGTATAGCTGCCTAATTTCCTGTGTTGCTCCCTAATGTCATCTTTGCCCTGGATCTTCTGCATGTTCCTCTCAGATCCACACCTTGAGCAGCCCTAGCTGGCAATATATGTTTGCTTTCATAATTTAATATCCAAACTGATCACAGAGAACTGTGCAGTATTCTTTTCAAATGTAGCATTAGATCTGCTTCCCATAGCATGATAGCATGCTTTCTCTTCATTAACTTACTTTGAATCTTATTGTACAAAGAGACCCCATGAACACAGCTATTAAAACACATGGCAAGGGATGCTGACTGAGTCACCTTTCCAAGATAAGACACATATGAATGTTTAATATAAACCTAAGTAAATCAATCTTCTGCTAACTCCTGATCCTTTTTTTTCTGGTCTTTGTAGTAGGAATTTTAGTGAGAAGTAAGTCTTGACCTGAATGCTTCAGCCATTTACAATTTACAATCTCAAAAAAGCACTGTGTAAGTTATGCTCAATATGGTACGTTTACACTTTCTGCATGATACCACAATTCTAAGCCTGTGAAGACATGATGACAGAGAGCTAATGGATGCTGGCTGTGCAGACACTGTGCAACTAGGTGGAGTCTAAAAATAGAATCTCCCTGAGCTTCCATCTTCAATGACTTGGAAATTTGCAAAATGGTACACCTGCTATTTTTGTTGCAAGAAAGTAGAATACTTAAGATAAAATGCTCATTAAATGGCTCATTTATTTTGAAAGAACTGAATTCAATATTTTTGGGTCACATTTCACATTCATAGCCTTACTATTCAGGGGAGACTAATCCGACACTCTCTTTGCAGCTATGATGTTGCCACAGGCAATAGAACATGCTTTAACACATCATTGACTTGGTTGCCACAACAACCATTTCCCTAGCTGAAGTAATTCCTTGAGGTAAAAAGACTGAATTTTGCAGATTAAAATCCCTATTATTGTTGCTTATTGTAGTACTAGTAGTACTTAAAGGTAGATTAACATTTATAATGCAAAATTAAACATACTGAGAAAGAATGAACACATGTCAGTATACTGTATTTATTCTAAATCTATCTATTCCAGTTCCATCAAAATTCATATGATCTGGGTTTTTCTGCATGAATGATTTTACTAAGAAATGCTTGCAGTTGCCTCCGAAACACATGCGAACATACTGTATATGTGTGATCAATTTAAAACAATATTTCATCTGAAACACTTTTGGCACATATGATAATACAGCAAAAGCATTTTTGTCTGTGCATTGCACAAATATTTAATACAAAGCATAGTAACAATTTTCTGTTTTACTGACATAAAGCATCATTCAATCATTAAAAACAGACTGCATGTGATTTGATATATGACCGCATCATAACAGTTAGAACATGATCACGTTTCTTTTTCTTACTGCAGTGTGGTTCCATTGAATTGAGTATTTACCCATTAGACTATGGCCACTGGGGGGCTGCCACACATTGCTGTGGAGGATGTGAATCCCTGAGCCTACATACACTACATAGCCAAAAGTATGTGGACACCATTTTGTCCCACGTCTTTCTGAAACGTTTTCCCACCTTTTGTTGCCATAATAGCCTCTGCTTTTCTGGGAAGGCTTTACATTAGAAGTTGGAACATTTCTGGTGGGATCTTCTGCCATTCAGGTTGAGTATTCATCGTAGGTTATCAGGTCCCTTTCTGTGAGCTTGTGAGGCCGACCGCTTCAACATGCTCCCAAATATTTTGACCTTCACTCAAAATCACTTCACTTAATGGTGACCAGAGCAGCTCTAGCAGGGCAGAAATGTGGTCATTTGGCTTGTTGGAAAGATTGTGTCCTATGATGGTGCCATGTGGAAAGTCATTAACCCCTCCTGTACAACCAAATATTCTGCTGCTAATGCGTGTTGTTGGAGATTGCGTGACTGTGTTAATTATTCACCTGTTTCAGCAGCAGGTGTGGCTTAATTAGGCAATTCTTCTAGTTAATTATTTGTCTTGCCTCTTGTTTCAGCCTTCAAGTGACTCATCTCAGCTGCCTCTCATCTGCTCCCTCATCAGTGGTATTATAAAGTGCCTTCCAGTCTTATACTCTCCAGTCCAGTCATTGATGTTGCCACCTGCCTGTGCTCCAAATTATGTCCTGTGCTTTCTGACCTGTCTGATCCTCGTCTCCCCTAGTGGTCGTTTTTTGGCATAAACATTGCCAAAAATACCCCCCCGCTAATATGTATTGTGTTGTAGCTACACTCTTGTAATTTCTAGAATATAACGTAATCAGTAGATGTCAGCAGAATAAATCTGAAGTCGATCTGATCTTCCAATCCAGAGTGGGGGGGTATTTTGGCAGGGAGGAAAATCACATTTCACTCACATATTGCACTTGTATAACTGTGCATTTTACATATCTTGTTTAATAAATACATTATTTATTTAAACCACTGTTAGGTGAAACAAAATCATGCAACAAATGAAAAAAAATTTCACTTGTCACCAATTTGTCAGTGTCAGATGTGTGACAACTCGAGAGCAGTGCATGTTAAAGTATCTTTCGTTCCTCGGATTAACTTAAACTTTGCTTAGGGCAAGGGCGTAACTTTGGCTGGAACATTGGGGTGGTCGAGGTCTCCACCCATTACTGGGGAAACATGATTATTGGGGGGGTTATATTGCCTGGATCAGATTATTGGGGGGGGTCATGACCCCCCTGGAAATTACGCCCATGGCTTAGGGCGGAATGCCATAACACTGAAGTTTACATGGAGATGATAAAATAGCATGACAGACACAATCAATAACTCGCGATATACTTAGTTCGTTTTAAACCTTCTACTAATTAAATACGGTTAAAAACCGCGGTACTGAAGATGCACGTGCACGCGAAGGGGGGCAGGATTTTAATTCATGGATGAACTATTAAAATAGAAACTCTTTTCATAAAAAATTCTCTGGTGGGGATGGTGTCAAGACCATTTAAATTTAAATAGAAACTTTTTAGCATGTTTGTCATTTAATAACGTGTGCTGTATATTATATATAGGTATGTTACAAAAAAATCCAAACCCCCCATATAACAGAAAATTTGTATTTCATTATATCCATCAAATAAAATTAATTAATTATGCTGATGGAAATTGTGAAAATGTCTCCTCTAGGTCCTTGAAACTGGACTATAATCAAATATCACTACACATATCATGAAAATGGAAATAGTAGACTCCATAATTTTACTGGTATTTTGGAAAATGATTAACAAGAGGACAAGACTAAGAGACTAGGACCTGCAAGGTAAATCACTAAATGACAAGTGAATAATGATGAATAATGTAATCAGTTTAAAAATCATGCTTATTGTAATTATTTTCATGCATAAAATATTCACCTATTTTAGTTCCTTAAAATGAAACAAACTTTATTAAAGTCTCTTGTTAATCCACTTGGAATATTCAAAACTAGTCTCTGCATGAATAGAATAATAATAATAATATAGTAATAGTCCTACCATCTATGATATATATGAATAAACTGTCTGTGTTCAGCCAACTGATCAAATCTATGAAGTCTTTATGCAAAAACATCCTGAGTAAGTTAGTCAATGTTAGTCTGAAAGAATGAGATCTCCAAGAAGGAGATCAACAGCCAAGGCAAATATTGACATGTCATAATCTTCAGCATCTTCATATGCCCCATCATGATTCCAATATGACACCCTGTATTTACATGAAGCTTTCTTGAGCTTCTCTATTCTCCCATTATATGATACAATGTTGCCATCCTCATTCCAAACATGTGCAATATTTCTTCCTACTGCTCTGCCATCAAGAATGTCTTGAATCTGTTCTTTGGTTTCCTCATTGACAGTGAAATCTTTAAGGACAGATTCTAGACCGTATTTCATGTTCCTTTCCAATTCCCTTCTTTTCGCTGAATGCCTGGCCTGTTTCTTCTCATCTTGTCTTTTGATCAACTCATCACTAAGATATTTTTGCCTTTTACGCCTTTTCATCCTCTGTTGCCTGCCATATGAAACAGCTTTCTTCAAGATCTTATCCCTTTTCTCCTCATCAAGACTGTGTAGATATTTCACTGTTCTATTCTTTATTGCCCTCATGCGGCACGAAAGAAAACAAAGGGTTGCACTTGGCCCACGTCGCTGAGCAGCCGAAAACATCCCCATTAACTCCTCAGCATCGATATTATGGAGACGAGCTGATTCAGTTTCCTGTTTCATTTTTGCTTTCCGTGGAGTCATCTGGTCACTTCTGAGAGAAACAGTACTTGAAGGTCCTGGTTGTGGTGACAGTGGAAGAGGAGTTGACTTAATAACTGGGGAGTCACTTTCTTGAAGGACAAGAACCTCTTCAGAATCTTTGCATGGGGTTGGTCTGTCATTATCATCTTCCTTAACAATAGGTGAAGGTTCATCTACAAGAGGCGTTGAAGGTTCCTCTACAGGGGGTGAAGGTGATATTTCAGCAGTAATACTAATACCAAGGAAAATATTGTCACAAATATTCCTGAATTTTTCCATCTCTGTCTCATTTGTCAAATGTTTGTAATGCTCAATTGAATTTTTTACTAAAGTCACTATTTTTGAGGGTGCACAGCTCATGCCTGAGACAGACCTCAGAGTATCAATAGTCTTTTTCACAGATTTCTCATTCTCCAAGTAGAAATAAAGGATGTGACCATTTTTAATGTCACCACCTCCATAATCCTTGAAATGTTCAGCTAAATACTGCCTGGCAATCGCTGGCTGCACCGTAACATTGACCTTCCTCTTCTTCTCAGGAGGCATAGCTTTGACAAGTCTGAAATTATAAAAGAGGGCATTTAAGAAAATAATGAAATGAAATTGTAAATTAGGCCTAGAAGGGGTAGGTAAAAGTGCTCTACTTACTAAAATACTACTAAGTATTATATATTTAATTTTATCATAGAAAGGATGAATAATTTATGAAAGAAACATTTTATGCACAAAGGTAACTAGCCGAATAAATTATGTGGTCTTCAAAAAAATATGAAAATGAAATTGTAAATTAGGCCTAGGGAGGGGTAGGTAAATGTTGTCTACTTACTAAAATATTACTAAGTATTATATTTTTATGACAAAAAGGATGAATAATTTATGAAAGAAACATTTTATGCACAAGGGTGACTGGCTGAATAAATTATGTGATCTTCAAAAAAATGTATCAATTTGTTTTATAAGCTGTTTTAGTGGAAAAAAAGTCCTGCAGGAATGCACAAAACATCAGTGAAAGATCTCTCATAACAAACACACTTGGTCATCTACAATGTAAACAAACGCGCTTGACGAATCAGGTTGCAGTATATCAGTCACGTGACCTCATGAATAAAATCTGGGGCACCTCATTACCGTGACGACTCGGTTGGGAATGCTTTCGTTCACAAGCAAAGCCATTGACTTCGACACTAAGAATTGTCACGAAATTTCACACAGCCATGGTTGAATAAATGATATATCAAATCTATAGGATTTTATTAAAAATCTACTTACCTCTAGTGATTTTGAAGCGATGCCTTTGAGAAGTAATTTATCGGTAATTTTGCAACGGGAAAACGAAACACTTCTGACCTGTCAAAAACAAAAATTTGAAAACCAGTGGCCTGTACTACGAAGCGGGGTTACTGGCTTATCGGGGTTATTTAAGGTAGTCTGGGCAAAATGTAAGTGAACGAATATGAAGTCCATTTAAACTGTGGTACCTTAAATCTGACAAGTTACCCCGATAAACCAGTAACCCGGCTTCGTAGTACAGGCCACTGGTATATAAATATATACACACGCACACACACATTTAGGAGGAGGTCATATAATAGAAAATTCTTAAAATAAACCTCGTTCTCCTTTCAGTGGGAATGAAAAAAACTATGGCAATGTCGTTGTGACATCTCTAGGTGGAAACCTCTAGATACCACTTTCTCTTCATTGACCAATTCCTGGTGTGAGACGTCAAAAATGCGCAGCAACTGTGCTTTCCAACTGATCTCTATTTTATCTGGACTGTGTTGAAAACCTCCATAAGACGGTAAATGGCCCATCCATACACTATCGGAATAGCTAATAGACGCAGCGGCGCTGCAGGTCTCACGTTTCAAAACCACATTTGCCAACATGTCCAAAGTCTCAAAGCATCATGGGATACTCTCACTGAGATCTTCTCCTATTTACTGCAGTTATAATCTTCGATAATGCACTACATTTCCCGGCAAGCTCTGCTGGTCTTGGAACGTATCCCAGATGGATGATCCTAACGCTGAGAGCAGAGCCTGCCTCAATCGCTTCCAGAGGAGAAGAAGCAAAGGGCGGCGGAAATTGCAATCATGAGACGGATTTGAAAAGAAAGAAAATAACGTCTTCAGCCCGAAGAAACTGGTGTTCGTAGCCAGTCATATGACAGAAAATGGACAGTTCACAATAAGTAACCCGAGACGCAAGAGAAAAGCCATGCAGTACAAACACAGAAGACATTAATGTAATAGTATTTCATATAAAGGGTTCCTCACGATCTCTCAAGGTTGGATCGGTTAGAGATTCTTCCTTGTCTGTTTCGATCGTCCCTGTGTGGTGGCTAAGCTTTACACCCTACCGGCTAAAATGTCTGTAGAGGAACCGGGCTACCGTGGAGTGACGGTGGCAGCAGAAGAAGGGACGGAGTGGCTGCGTGCGGAGATCGAGCGCCTTTCCCGTGAGCTAAGCGAGACGACGCATGAGAAGATCCAGGCAGCGGAGTATGGGCTTGCGGTGCTGGAGGAGAAGCAGCAGCTGAAACAGCAGTACGACGAGCTGGAAATCGAGTATGAGACCGTTCGGCAAGAGCTCGATCAGCTTAAAGAGGTATGTGAAATTACCGAGGTTATGCACGATCACATATTTTTTGTTTTAGGAAAAAAAAATTATGGCTATAAGCCTATAATAATTTTGCTATGAAAATCTTCTTATATAACATAAATAGCATTTAATATGCTTTATTATTTATATGGCATTTTAGAGTTTAAGATCCGAGATTCCCTGTGAGCGCGATTTGTGCGAGGATCGAAAATCTTTGTCAAAGCCGTTATTTTGCAAGGTCAAACATGGGGATGGCGAATTTGTCATTCTCCAGCTTCTGCAGTCTTGCGTCTTGACGAGGCATCTCGCTTGCTGCCGCATTATTATTCTGCAAGCTATATACGGCATACTGCTCTATTGCTGCGGAATAAACAGATTTTCCAGTCTTGTGACGTTTTACGCTGCTTGTGCGGGGCCTAGTTTAAATTTTGTTCATTCGAAAAAATAGAAATTATCCTTATAAAGATATAGTGGATAATTTTTCATGATGATGAAATATCATACAGCGTAAATAACACTAATATGCGGAGATGTGCCTCGAAATTCTATGTAAAGTATATCAGATTTGTGGTTTGGGGTACGATATGTGATTTTTGGCTGGTTTACTGGAATTACAGTACGTGCATCCTTCGTTTTGAAGGCGTTGAATCCATCTTGGAGTCACCGCAGTATTATAGACGGATGCGTATGCGGCAAAAACTACATCCTTTGGAATTCACCGCCGAAACGCGTGGATGCAGATCGTGTTTGCACATGCAATGTCGCATTAAATACATCATTTCACAGCATGCAACAGCTAATCGAGGTACATCTGTAAGAATGAAACATGTAATGATTCCTATGTCCCCCGCCACCTATCCGCCTCTCTCCCTTAGGTGTGTAGTCAGAGGCCCCGGTATCAGCTGGCAGGCCGATATTATAACGTCTGAACCTACAATCCAGTCGGGCTATCGATGACAGTTGCATTGTAATTTATAATACACCAATATAATTCACATTCAGTTGTTTATTATTATTATTATTATTAATAATAATAATAATGTATTAACTGTCATTATTATTGACATATAATTATAATTAGATATATAATAATAATTTATACTTTTCAATACGCTAATTAACAGGTAATCCAAATAATTTTTTTTTTTACGAGTGATCTATATCCTTTAAAGATTCTGAAGCTTTGTCTCGCTGCATAATATGTTGACAGCGCAGAATAATTTACTGATGGGTGATAGTTTTAATGGCTGTCATTATTTCGTTGCTTCTTGTTTTTCCCCCTCTAAACGGTGACTTGGTGAATCAGGCGAGTTTCAACAGGCAAGAATGTCAGGAATGCCGGCGGTTGTCCCGAACAAAAAAAAGAACAGTGTCAGTCGGAGGGGAGAACGTCACTTTTAAACTTAAATTTAGCGCCAAAATAATTTGTAACTGGCTCAGCGGTTGTTAAACATGTGACATTCATTTTAAGAAGTAGGCTAGGGGTAATGCACAGTCTTCCTCTTCTGTTATTGTACAGTTTTGTGCTGTCTAAAAGGGCCTGCACAATTTTTTAATACTGTTTATAATGTGGAACAGATGAGTCATTCTTACCACTGAAAATATATTGAAATTTTTTACCTTTCCCCCAGACCAATTTTCTTTTTTTTTCCCCCGTTGACCCTAATGGTGCGACAAGAATTTTAGGGCAGTTGTGATGAGAAGAAAATCTGTTTGTATGCTCTACAGATTTTGTACAGCAAGCTTGTGTTCGGATTCACCCTGCCGTTTCCTGAGGGGGGAAGGGGGTTCCTAGGAAATCAAGCAGAGGGTGAAGCATTGGCCCATAGTTCATTTTCTAAGCATATGCATGGTTCTGCAACAAGGACCTTGGATTGGGTAACAAGCCAGTTGTTTACCTTCCCTGATCTTAGTAACCAAGGCATTGAAAATGACCACATTTCTCTATGGGAAACGTAAGAGAGATAATTGTCAATTCGATTGCAGTTCTAGATTCATCTGTGTTTTGGTCCGGATGTGGACTGGAACCCTCCAGTTGTTGACAACTGCTGTAGACTAAGTATGAATTTGTATATTACTGCTATGGAGAGGCATAAAAAGACTATTGATATTTTTTTCAAAATGCTGGTATTGTACCATTTTCAAAACTCCAGTACTGCGTTGTTTCTCAGTACCGTTTCCCATGCAAACCTTTCTTTAGGTAAAATTAAGCTTCTAAGTGCTACAGGAGAAACAAACAAAGACATTCACAAGCTTGTTCCCCGGCTGTTTAATGTGACATTTGCATGGAATTGTCTTGTACGCACATTTCAGTGATTTATGATGATAACTTTCTTCTTTTTTTTTAGTCGACCATCATGTGCTTTTGTTTGAGATTGAGATTTGTTTGAGGAGAATAGGTAAAAAATGTGGTTGTAGGCCTGTTTGCGTTGGTGAGCGCCGTGTGTATTGTCCTGACGATCACCAATGGATAATAAGACACTAGGATGGCCTTCACTTGAGGTTTGGTCAGGGGCTGAACACTTACTACATTCCAGCATGGTCTCCTGACCTCAATCTTTGTGACAATGAAAAGAATGCTTGAGCGCCTGCATGCATGGGTGGGTGTTTGCACATATTTGCAGCAGTTGTAAATGCCAAATGTTTCTTTTGTCTTGAACTGACTTTAACCGTGTTATTTAAAGCCAAATCTCATTGCTAGCCTTTGTCTCACACCGAAGGCCTTCAGTTCTCCATGCTAAAGTACCTGTTGGATATCTTAGTTCTGTTGTTCATATCACTCAGTGCCTGTTGTCCGTTTATATGATCTTAATTCTCCTCTTCAAATCTATGTTTTCATTAATCTTCAGGTCCATAGTCCTTTCACTGCTGGCTGGAAAAACAGTAAATTCCTCCTGATGGTGATTTGTGCTGGTTTAAATCACAAATGAACCACTGATGTGGTGGGATTTCCCCTGTCCTACTTCTGATTTGCTGTAATGCTTTTACCTTCTTCCCTGCTTTGTTTTTTCCCCTCATTTACAGCCATCTTTTAACACACATTATAATTACTCCACCTGTTTCGTGCCATACCATCAAACATGTGTATGTTCTTCCGTTGATTCAGGGGCGTTATGAGGAATTACTATTTCATTACTCATCAGTGACAGTTAAGCATCGCTGAAAATTGTAATGTAATCTCACAGCTTTCCATTCTCATTGGTTGTTTAATCTCAGAATTAATGGATGGAAGACAATGGATGCTACCACCCTTCTAATTGATGCTACCACCCTTCTCTGAAAACTAAAAATGAATTGTTCACTTCATTAATGTCATAGATTTTGAACCAGAAGTTTGTCCCAGAAGTGCGCATGCATTAAGTGTTTAACTTCAGTCGCTGTACTAGACTGTCCAGATTCTAATCTTTGGTTAAAAGCATCAGATACGCAGCTCAAGGCAAATGACTTGTATCTAAGTCCTCTGAGGATGATAAATCAGGCATGTTCCCCCTCTCATTCTCATGTGTGTCCAGCCTAGTTCATACTCCACCTGTCTGTGAACCGTTGTGTCCCCCTTTTGCGTACATACTATATCTGTCCGTGTACACATAAGGTCATGGTCAGCACATGCATACGGCAATGATATTCCACCTGGTGATGCACTATTAATTCCTTGCACATGCACAGTCGATGCACACCAAGTCCACCTGACACGAAATCTGGGCTGCACGCGTGTTGTCTGCGCAAACACTCCTGATGATGAAATTTACTTCATGTAGACTGCGTGCAGACCGTGAGGAGTTGAGTATGAAGTAGGCTACAGTGCGCAGTCAAAGCCTTCAGCCTCTCCCACTTTCACAATTGCAAAGGCAGCTGGGGATCTTGTGGAATTTCCTCTAGCACTAGATATAATGCTCATTAAGTGTTTACACACTTGAACTTCACCGCAGGTAGCAAAATGGAAGGACTGTAGGCCAGGTTATACTAGCAGGTATGTCAAGTCTGGTTCTGACAGTCAGTACGTTTACATGCTCACTAAGTAAATGAAATTGTGTTAGTCCGATTCACCGCTATCCAATTCACCACTCAACTACAGTGCGCTTTTCCACCACACCAGGTACTGTACCATTGGTACTTCAAGAACGTACCATGAGTATGATACTTCAAGGTGTTGGTTTTCCACTGGCGTGATAACTGGTACTGGCGCCAAAAGACATCAGAACACGAGGTGGCGTATTTTGTACTGGATTCAAACATGTAGTGCTTTTGCAAAAGCAGCACAGGTAAGCTTTTAAACTCATTTTTACACGTGCAGTAGGACTAGATGATGGGCGATATTAATACGAACATCTCATGTTATGCACATTCAATTCTTACATTGCTAGTCAGCTAGATTAAGATCAGGCTTTTTCTTACCTTCAGTTTGGTACGAATATTATAGCGCAGGGAGTTTAAGTCTCACTAAACATTTTTACTCTGTCATAGAAAAAAAAACAACTTAGCAAGTTTTTGCAATTTTATTGATTATTCATTTAGTATATGTTTATTGTTTAAACATCAGTTTAAAGTTTTACCTCTGCTGCTTTTTCATGAGCGCTGCATGCATTCTCCGAGACATTCATAATCATTTTCATTCTTCATTGCTGTTTAGGAGCCATATCGCGACAAATTGTTGCGGAGTTGGACATATTTCAGTCAATAAATCGATTCCTCTCTCATGCAAGTATACTGGGACAAGGACAGTAGTCCGATCAAATGCCATAGTTGAGCTATAACTGTAGACGTACTGAGTGTCCTTTCAGGCGTGATTAAAATGTTAAAAATAAGAAAGATGTGCTTTGTCTGGTCAAACCACATTGTTGTGCCCCCAGGAATACAACATATTGGTGTCCTTCAGGTAATTAATTAAGAATGTAAAAGGCACTCTGGGATGTTTTTTTCAGGAAAAGATGAAGATTTGTGAAAGTTATGGGAAGAAGCAAGTGTTCACTCTTCACAAAAGCCCAGCAACAAAAGCTCTAGCTGCA